AGGAGAAAAGGTGCAGCAGCATTTGGCCCATACATGGGAGTAGGCTGGTGAGACTTCAGAGATGGCAGCTGCGGAGATAGCAGATCTCAGGCTGTGACAGTCCCCCTGTGCTTACGTACTCAAGTACGTTGTGTGTGCTGTCAGTCTAGGAACTGCTCAGAAGCAAGAAGGGGCTCGTACACAGAGGCTGAGGGATTCTCACATGTGGAGGAGAAACCTGGGTTCATGAATGAGGTCAGGTGCTAAGTCAGGGGCTGAAAGTTCTGTCTGTTCAGACTTTGGTTCTCTGTCAAAATACACAGTCCTGTGAGGCTCCAGAGAAATAGAGTGCAACAGAAGTGGAAGGTAAATAACAGTTTTCGAGCTTGGGTTGTGGTGGTTTGTTTTTTTTTTTTTCCTTTGCAAGTTGTATTGGTGCATCTTGCCTGGATGCAATGTTTTATCAGTACTAACACTGGGACAGCTTTAATATTTCTGTATTAGTGATGACTATTCATATAACCTACCAATGACAGTAATGGGGAGTGGAAGGGGAGGCCGTGGATACTACATAAGGAGTTTATCTAATTACAAAACAGGAGGGGACATCTGGAGGGAAGAATCAGCAGTTGTTGAAAAAATGGGCTGCTTCATTTAAGCACAATGAAGACAGAACCGAGTCATTGCTGAACACATTGCCACTGCTAACCTTCTGGAGCAGAAAACATGACTTACGAAATGAGAACTTCAAAAAGGCAGATGAGGTGATGCTAAGAGGAAAAGTTGAATTGTAATCAGAATGGTGAAGTTGGCATGATTTATGGCTTATGATTATGAAATTTTTTATTTTTTTTTTTTTAAATAAACACCTGAGTTTTAATAATGAAAAAAACCAGCTAAGTTACAAAACAAGGCTTTTTAAAAGAAACACAGCTGGGACAATGGCAAACAAAATCTTACTTTAGGTTATAATAATAGTCATCCCAGATTTAAAAACAGAAAGAATGGATTCCAAGAAGTGAAAACAGCTACAGAAAATGCAGAATTTGAGTATTAAATGTTTAATAAGTAACCCAGAAGAGGCCTCTTGTATTTCTACGATTATTTTATTCTTTAAAGACTGTATGCTTTCTACTGCTTATTGAATGGACTAAGGGAGAACTTAAAAATCAACAACTCAGTAAACATGGAGGTCAAACTGAGTTGAGAAGGAATACTCAGTAGTATAATATTATGCAGAGGTGAAGATAAACATTAAGTTTTCAATTAAGAGGTCTGGTAATCAGTCCAATCAAAGGCACCACACAGTAAACATGTTATTTGCTGCTTTAGTACCTTGAACTGTTTTTAGCTTACTCTATCCTTGGAGGAATTCCTGAGTTTTTTCTTGCATGCTCTAAAGTAAAATTGCCCTTTCATGACAACTGAAATGGAAACCAATTATCTAGCGATTCCAAGAAAACAAAAGGTACACAGATATTAAGATGCCTATCTTAAGCTTCTCAAACACACAAGACTTGAAATGTAATCCTTTTTGGCATGATGCAAGACCTTCCTTTCCAATTAGATAGCAAAACTCACCACACTTGTAACTCCCACGCTGTTCCAGTGGGTAATCAAATATCTTACCTCCTTCAAATACCCTACATAAATATTATTTGGCAGTGGTAGAGGTAGTCAGTTATCCCTGAAAAACTACCTGATCATGTACTTAGATAATCACAAACCTGCTCGAGCAGTATAAATCCAGTTTATAGTAGTTGTGAGTAGTATGTGGGCACTGGCTTACCATAACAGAAGTTAAACTTTAACAGAAGTGCCAGAGCAGTGATCTCTGAGACTTAAGTTCCATGAATACTAGAAGAACTGAGCAGCATTGTACTCTTTTACATCCCTAACCAAGAACTGAGGATGCTGGCGGAGTAGAAAGGAAATGGCTTGTGAGCCACTGTTGAAGACAGACTATGGGCTAGATGGACCATTCGGTCTGACCGTTGGGCACTTGCCCAGTTCTTCAGTCCTGCCTTCCAGCGGAAGATAAGAATCAAGCCCTTGGACTATTGCTTTCCAGCATGACAAGAATGGTACTTATTGCAATGATACCAGCCAGCTGAGAAACTCAATTTAATAAGTCATTACTTAACTAAGCTTATACAGGCTGTGGGATTAGTAGGGAAGAAACAGATTCAAGTGCATTTGTTCAGTTTCAACTTTTGTTTCTGTGCTCACAGCGTAGAAGGACTATTCTCAGACTGCTGAAGTAGTACCTAAATTGTCTACTTTTTTGGACTGGTGGAACATAAGAAATCAGGAAGAATTACTTTAATCTTGCCACTGGTTTTCTTCTTCTGCACTCAACAAAATACAGGCTTATTAAGGAAGTTAGGGAATGTACAGCATTTCATAGCACTGTTTACAGACAGCAGCTCACGTCTACAATGTTGAGATTTTTCTGATAAACATATCCGCAGTTTTGCCTAAGCAACGTAATTTAGTAAAGGCATAAACGATTGTAGACAACTCAGGCATTCCCATCTAGTAAAGATGCAACTCTTGGCAGAAGTTGTTTTTCCACCCACCTTCTCTGTGGCGTTCTTTAAATATATAAAAGAGTACATGTATTATCTCTACCCCTTACCACTTAAAAATCAATTAACACTTTTAAAATGTTCAACAGAGGCATAGTTTTTTTCTGTTATCTTATTGCTTAGAAGCTCTGTGGGACTAACTGCAAAAGTATAGGCAATAGAAATCAGTATTTAAATTATATATTACATGTTTATTATGGGTGCAAATTTTTTTAAAATTTACATTTCATGAAAAATCAGAAGTATTTACAATTTTTGTAAGATAAACTTGTATGCTCTAATTTACAGTCTGACGTAGTAACAATTCATAAAAATTCAGATCCTTTAGAATTGTGTTTACAAATTAATTTTCTTAGGAGGCAGCTACAACGGATATTGCTGTATACACAAGCAAGAACCAGCTTGCTACATATGTTTTTTTATCAGATAGCTACATGTACTTTTTAAATTGTTTTTGAATTTCTTTACAAAAAGTCTATATAAACTTGTATGGCTTCAAAATTGTAACCTGCACCCAATGCAATTGTATGTATAATCACCTGAATGAAGGTGAGTTTAAAAGTGCTGAAACATAACTACTTCATTTAACTTAGAAATGAAAGTAATACTTGATTAAAAATAGCAATACAATTTTGGGTTTTCATTAATAAAATATTGTCATGTTAAACACAGTTTGATTGCAAAGCAGATTACAATTAAGATTCCAGTAAAAAGACTGTACCATTTTATGAGTTAGAAATTTACCATTCAATAAGATAAGCAAATTAAGAGCCAAATATACTCTTCCAATTAAATGTACAGTACAGTATGTGCTTAGTGCTAACAATGGAACTCTCATCGGCAAAAGTGTGTAGTATACATTAGAATTTATGTAGCCTCTACAAAGCTTAATTCATTGTAAAGCTTCAGCAGTCCAATTCATTACTGGTTTTGCATGAATTAGTTCAAGCATGTTTTATTGTTTTAATTGAGAATTCTAAATAGATATTGGTATTCAAGATGGTCATATGAAATTCCCACGTGCAGGTTACTCAATTATTTTGCCCCAAGACTTTTGATTTTGGCATTGAAAAAACAGTTGATAATACAAATACAGAGAAGATTTTCTAAATCAGTGACTTGCTTTAAAAAATATTACTAATGTGTCACTCCCCTGTGCTTAGGCTGTGGCAAGCAGATTAGATGACAATACAGATATTAAAATTGGTGGATATAGAAAAAATATAAACTCATAGAAATGGCAGTACTTGTCATCCTGCTGCCATAAAATACCATTTGAAAATGCTATTCCTCCCAAAAGTACTATGTTTACATTCACATCACACAACCCCCAAAGCACTCAAAAGTCCGAAGACTTGCAGTCAAAGTGAAGGGAAATGCTGTTTGCTTTTAAAAGTTTGTTTTTACCATCTTCGGTGATTTTTCAGGATTCTCATCTTTGGTGACATTGAAGTTACTATCTCAAAGTCAATTTCAAAGTCCTGCATGATGCATCTCCCTTTACTACAGCCGCATTTATTGCAATTACCCCATGAAGAAGTAATCCAGTATTTTAAACTTCTTTTAAAACAATCTCCAGTTTTTGCAAATCTGCCTTCTATGTAAATCCCAGCCAAAGGAATTTTTATAAAGTTGTGTGTATTATACAAACACCGTGCTTTCTTGATGAAGAGCCAAACTTTGAAAAAGGAAGTGAGGCATGTGAATAACAAATTGGATAGGCACAGGCTTTTTTAAAGGCACAAATGTTATGCAATTCGTATAAAAATAAATTAAATCTACAGCATTAATTCAAACAATCACAACACCCATAAAATTTACTTACTGCAGGAGTAAATCTCTGCTGTCTTTTGCAATTTTGTAACACATTGCACTTATGAAAAAACCCCTATATAAAACAACTTACATGTTAATAATATGATACACAGGCATCAAGTTACATTTCTCTTATACATCTCTAACTCAGCTGGTTTTGTGGCATGAGTAGATAGAAGAACTACATGAGACTTTGCCTCTGCTTTCTTTAAAAACTGGCAATTAAAGAATCTGAAAAATGAATATTACTTACAGAAAGGTCACATATTTCTTACGTGCTCTCCTACATTTTTAGGTTTCATGTTTACAGTATAACATACAATTTCATACTTTCATTACAACTATGGATTACTATTTTGACTTCATTTATATAAATTTACTAAAATTTCAACAATTTTTCCCAAATATTGCAGTTGATCATTTACAGACAGTGTTGAAGTTAACTTCAGTGCTATTATAAAGTAACAAAAAGTTTGCAAAATGACTTTTAAAAGTGCATTTTCTGTTCTGTAGTTCAACCTCAAAGTAGGTCAACATTTTGAAAAAATTAATGCATGTTAAAATAGTGTTTGAAAAGTAGAGAGGGCAGAGTGAGCTCCTCGCACTCCTTTGATCCAAAGACTTTAACAGGTACATCAGCAGTCTGCCATATAGCGCCCTGAAAAATAAAGGTAGTTTTTTTGCAGTCAGTAGATAAAACAGATTTTGTCAGTATTTTCCTGGGAGGAGTCTGAGTAACTATGGAAAACAAAAACAACTGTGGAACAGTTTACAGCCATGTTTTCACGAAAAGTAACTATTTATGCATCACTTATTTGATAGTTTCCTATTCTATAATTTAACACTATAGAATATATAACATTAATTTGAATATATAAGCATGTCAGTGTCTTACCAGTGGCAAATCTCTTCTTAAGGAGGGAAAGCCGATAGCCAGTGCCTACAAGCTCTACATCTACCCCTGAAAGGGTGCTTCCTTCACTAATGAATTGCACTGCAAGTGTTGCTGGTTTACTGGGTCCTTCTGAAAGTTCAAATTTTGCCCTGAGGGATCCAGAACCTGTAAAAATAACAAAACTGAAAAGCTGGTTCTTTGCAAGAACACAATGATCTCCCAAAATTTCTAGTAGTAAGAAGTGAAACTAACATGGTGACCTTTGAGGTCTATTCCTAGCAGCAGTCCTACATCAGTTTTCAAAAGATACACGAGTACAAGTCTGTTTTTTCCAATACTCTCTTTAAGACAATGACTAGTGAATGATTTAAAGAGAAACAATACACATTTCTGCAAGATTATACAGAATGTGTGTATCAGACAGCCTGGTAATCTCTTGTTACTTGAAATATCTGATTGGTCCCTGTAATCATCATTTATGCTTGCAGGTCTATAAGTACTTAATACCACTAATCTCATGTGTAGTACTTTTCATTAGCAGATTTGAAAGCACATCAGAATATTTAAATGTTGTCATGACCTGTCTGGATGAATGTACATGGACAAAACCATTGGAAGAAATGCAGCTATACAGTAATGTACCCAGAGGAAAGAAATTCTTATTTTTCTAATAAAGACAAGGTCTGATTAAATACTATTCCCCACAAATTTCAGTTGATTTTTCAGAGACAGTGGTGAAGTGTCATCACTTTGATGCTATTATAAAGCAGTAATAGTTCAAAATTACTTTAAGTACATTTCTGTAGTCAATGCAAAGCATTTTAAAAAAAGCACAACATTGTTACTAGTCTCTTTTTCTAGTTCTTAAACAAGTCATTTCTTGTTCTTGCAAACAATGCTGGGAAAAATGAGATTTAAACAATTAATAATGAAATAATGAAAGTAAAGTACTTTTACTTCTTTAAAACAACTTGCTAGTCCTAGTCAATACAAACTGCTAAACAATAAGGAAAGTTTTAACTGAAATGTTACTGGGGTACAAGCGAGAATTAATGAATGAAATTGTTCTATGCAATGCCTTGTTCCTGATAAATTTGGCTTAAGGTCTGCTTCCTTTCTTCAGTAGGTCTGTCAAAAGTTCAAGTAAATTAGAACTTCTTTCCACTGTAGGTATGGAAACTCATATATTCAAGTGTTTTGAAAGTTTGTTCTGTGTTTTATCTCTCTCTGCAATTGACAGCTCACACAATGTGTTGGACCGTAAAAAAACCCAAAACATTTTACCACGTTGTACACGAGAATGAAGAAGACTTCAAGACATTTGTCCTAATATTAACAGTGTTTGTGCAACTTCTCCCTTTGTTTCTGTAAGTGTAAGACCAACATAGTATTACTTTCTCTTAAACACTGAGCTGTGAGTACTATGTGTTTATACCCAAAAGAAAAGGGGAAGAAAGATGGTGGGAAGAGAAGGGAATATAGCAGAAGCAGTGGGTATATGCAAGTCTACTGAACATACACAAGATGCAATCTGCATCACTGGCAGCCCATTTTATGCTGCTCTGCAGTTGTACAGCAGCTCTTCATCTGGCTGCATTTGTGTTTTACTATGATTTTTTCTTTTAAAAGAAGCTCCACAGTTCGGAAAAGGAGCAAAAGAAAAAAAGAGGGCTATCCCTATGTAATCATAATGGAAGACAGATGGCAAAGAACTGTGAGGTCAGTGAATGACAAAGTACACCAAACTACAGCAACAACCTCTGTCAGATAAAATTTTCTCTGGTTTTGTTTGAATGATGACCACAACTTTGCAGCCTTTGGAGGAATAGAAGAGGTTTTCCCTTTCCAGGCTTGTGGTTTCTGTATGAAACCACTCATATTTACAAGCAAATCTGTGCTTTCATAATGCCCTTCACTAAATTCTTAACAGGGCTAAATGCCTTTCCTTTACACCACGAGTTCAATTCTCCACAGAGGCTTTGAGGATGACATACCTCCCCCTTTGGCTCCTGTTTTTCTGATTCAGAAAAACATTGCACCTGCAGAGGCTGCAAGGGCTCTGACATTAACTGGACCTCAGGGAAAGGCAGCTGGGCAGAGGACAACTATTGGTACCTTACAAAATGCTATGTAAATTACCACTCTGAGCAGATGTGCATAGATTAATTTTTTTCCTAAATTGTATACTGTCAAAACAAAGATCCTCAAAATGTTGGTTAAGACTCGCCTATTATTGAGTCTATCTCAGCACAGGACTTCTGGATCTTTTTTTTTTTCTTCCCCCCAATTCTTCCACTTACCTCTTTCTACTTTATTTCTCTTGCCAGTGTGTGAAAAGACACAGATATTAAACATATTTTCCTTTGAATAACCGCTCGTTTCCAAATATCATTGATGTAATAATTTCCTACCCAGTCTAAACTCTATTTTAGAGCTATGAACTGCTTTCAGGGGGCTTCACTATTTTTTCTTTTATAGCCAATTAATAAATTTATATTTTGACATCTCACTGTTGATGGAATCTCTCAGGATGAAGTTAATTGAGAAGGTGAACTGGTACACAGGATACAGCATGAGAAGACGTGTGAATACGCATGAGGGTGTAGTGGCCAAAATGGTTACCTTCTTAGTGTTATAATTTTCCTGTACAAAACAAAAAAGTGCAACTTGCCTCCATTCTCAGACTTCTCCGAAATACTAGATATTTTCCAATATGCTTTCATCTGGTCTGCATTCCTGTAAGAGAACAGTAGGTTAGTTATAAGCACCAGTTCTAGCATATTATTTCCGTAGATTTAGACTGGTATGTTACAGACATCTCTGAACGGAGGTTTATAAAAACACTAGATCATTTTAAGGTAAGTTTGTGGAAAACTATACACAGCAAACAGGAAAAGAGAAGGGTGTGTCCGCATTGCCCCAGAGCAGCAGAGCTCAGAAGTACACACCACCTTTTTTATACAGTTAATGCTATCCTACGCCCTGGCTGTGGCTCCACAGCTCAAACAACCTCTGCAGTCTCAAAGGGTAAGGACAGGCCAAATGCCCGAGAAGCAGGTTGAAAGCTGTGTCTTCATGCTTCATGATGATGGTATGAGGGGGAGCAATGTTCATTGCTCTCCCCTATGTGAGGCTCCTGGAAATTATTCCATTTCCATTCTAGTAAAACTAGTTGGCCTAAGTGACACAGGGTTTAAGCTAACTTCTGACACTAAAGGGGCAGAAAAGGGCACCAAGCACCAGTCTCTACGCTGACAGGGCATTTTAACTCCTGGAGCACTTTGCAGCAGTTTCACCAAAGGAAAGTCAAGGGCTTAAAGCTGTGAGCAGCATGAAGTGCTGATAGGTTTGAAATTGCTTTTGGCATTGGTGTAGCAGGAGCAAAATGCCTACACAAGCAGCACAGATGGTTGTGGTTACTTGCAGGAGGTCAAGTTATAAAACATTTATTTAAAACATTTATTTAAAAAAAAAAAACCCAAAAAACCAAAAACCCACCACCTAAGCCACTAGACCAAACAGGTAGCACAACACAAATACTAGAGCCACCTGGGACATGACTATTTTATTTTGGTTTGTTTTTTTGTCAGCTTTCCAGGCTCAAAGTTCTGGCCTTAGGTAGTTGCCTAGGTGAGAGAATCCAGGCTCAAGTCCCTTAATCTGATGAATCTGTAATGAAACTGTCACTAAGAATTGAGTCTTCTTTGCTAACACTAGGTGTACTGAGGGGTGTTCCCTCTCTCACTCAGGCTTCATTACAGAGGGCTTTGTGGAAGAAGCCTGGGCAAGGAGACTGGCTTCACCAGACATTCTAGTCATGTTGGTCAGGAAGGATACTCAATCTGCCCTTGCTCAGAATAAGCTTAAGGTGACTTGGTTACAAGTATTGCTCCCTTGAAACACCAAGTCGAGAAAGGTTCAGTCATGCTAGGATTTTTTCTACTTAAAATGATACTGTATTACTACTCTGTCCAATTAACACATTTAAATGTATTGCCTCTGGAAATATCAGAACCTACCTGATAAATACGTCAGGTTTATTTATCTTCTGAACCTTGCTTTATAAGGTAAACTGATCTGTAAGTAACAAGGTTAACAAAGCCTAACTTCCTTCAACTTGATATTTTTTGCCCTTTTCACATTAAAAAGACCCTCTTGGAAATAAACAGTGCAGGAGCTACTTTACAGCTGGGCAAGTACCTACGTGCTGCCAAACTACAGGCGCAGTGGTTGAATGCTGCTCACCTTTTGCTCCAGGGATGTACTGCTCTGCCTGTTTTCACAAACTTGTAGAAACATAATTACCTGAGATCTGTGTCTCACTTTCAAGTGCTACTGTAAGTGCAGACTTAAAAGGTGGTGGCAGGTAGCTGCTAGTCTGATATTAATCTGCATGACGCTTGAAGTGAGAGACAACGCTACCCAGCTTGTGAAGAGCTCCTCAGTTACTGAGGTTTGTTTTAAAACCATTTCAATTAGAAGCTCATTTTTAAGCTAGAACAATCAAGAAATCTTTTTAAGAACTTCATTTCTTCTACTGTCTCTATATAATCCATATACATGGATATATTTATACACACACACACATTTTGGTTTCAAATTACTGTATTAAAAATGTCTATCCTGTCTATTGGCCAAAAGAAAGCAAATGTTGGAAATTTCATTAAGGCTTGTATTATTACACAGTTGGAATGGGTGCATATTGCCTCATTTTAGTTTATGTGAATTGGCTGCACATAGAGTGATAGATCCATTACGGCTGGGAAAAACCCTTAAGATCATCGAGTCCAACCGTTAACCTAGCACTGCCAAGTCCACCACTCAACCGTGTCGCTAAGCACCACATCTTCTCGTCATTTCCATACCTGCAGGGATGGAGACTCAAAAAAAACTTGAGGCTGTTTCCTCTCGTCCTATCACTTGGGAGAAGAGACCAACCCCCACCTTGCTACAACCTCCTTTCAGGTAGTTGTAGAGAGCAATAAGGTCTCCCCTCAGCCCCCTTTTCTCCAGGCTAAACAACCCCAGGTCCCTCAGCCGCTCCTCATAAGACTTGTGCTCCGGACCCTTCACCAGCTTCGTTGCCCTTCTCTGGATGCGTTCCAGCACCTCAATGTCCTTCTTGTAGTGAGGGGCCTAAAACTGAACACAGTATCCACACCAGAAAATGTCCTAAACTTCTGATACTATGCATTTTATCAAGACAAAAAAACTTAGCTGTTTCTTCCAGTGAAATTTTTCAGACTGTCTATGACACTAATGAATACACTGACATGAATCTGAAATAATAAAAAGCATTAATATTACCATTTTGCAGGTGGAAGTGATTGCATGTTTGTTACTCCTCCATCTACTGGTACCACAACCTGGACATTAGACAGCATACTAGGCACATTCATAGACTCTGGATTGTACTTATAATCCACTCTCACATCAGTAGTGCTAGCATTACATTTCCAGTAAGTTGCAAGATTCAAGGGAGTGGACTGGATGCCATTTGAAGATACCTGTAAAAGAATAAACCATTGAAAGCAGCTTAATTAAAATACTCCCCCTCTAGGCAGAATTAGGGAATGATGGTAATGAATATAACTCTAAATCCTGACAAAAGATCAAGAGAACAATTGACCTCCGAGTCCTTAATCGCAGAATTCTGAAGACTGTTGCAGCCTAAAGTAATTTCTGTTCTTTTAATTTTAAATAAAAATAATGAAATAAAAGGTTTAAATTCCCTCTGGCCCATGAGGCTTCTTCCTCTTCTGGCTTTTATAAGTCAAAATAGCTTTGTTTTAGTCTTGCTTTCTGCCTCACACAAGGAGTATCCCTGTGGCAAAATGACTTCATCCTTAGCAGTTGTGTGCCATACCAATTCAGCTGCCCAAGCAGCCAGCAGCAGAGTGCAATACCTGTCATTATGGGACAGGCAGCCAGCAAAACAGTTCTTACCTATTCAAAGGAGGGCTGGATGCTGCTGCTTCTGTAGCTGAGCTTGTGCTACTGCCCTGCTGCATCTCTACCACCTTCCTAGCCTACTTGAGGAACCTTCTATGTCCTGGTGCCCCCTCTTGCCTTTCTTTGGCAGCCCAGAACCTTTTCTATCTCTCAGGGCTTCCATATGCCAATGCCTCATTTTTCCCCAACAGTCAAGATCTTAAATAGATTTCATTCTTTCACAGTACTCATTTCTGCAATCCAAAGAAATGTTTTGCTCCTTCCATCTTTTGCAGGAATTCCATGTACCTAACATGCTTTTCGTAGATTCAGTATGCCAAGATTTTAAACTATATGTGTTAAAAACTATATGTGTTCATACGTGGGTGAGGAATTGGCTGGGAGGATGCACCCAAAGGGTGGTGGTAAATAGCTCTTTTTCAAACTGGCAACCCATCACAAGTGGGGTCCCCCAGGGATCAATATTGGGCCCAACGCTATTCAATATCTTCATAAGTGATCTGGATAACAGGATCAAGTGTAGCTTGATGAAGTTTGCAGATGACACCAAACCGAGTGGGAAGTAGACACTCTGAGAGGGAGAGCCACCCTGCAGGAAGATCTGGAAAGGCTCCAGCTTTCTAGTCCACTGTGGGCTAACAAGAACCTTATGAAGTTTAACAAAGACAAGTGTAAGGTCTTGCACCTGGGAAAACATAATCCAGGTGTGCAGCTCAGACTGGGATCCACCTGGCTGGAGAGCAGCTCTGTGGAAAGGGACCCCAGGGTCCTGGTGGATAGGAAGCTCAATATGAGTGAACAGTGTGCTACTGCGGACAAGAAGGCCAACAGGATGCTGGGTTGCATCAAGAAGGGCATCACCAGCAGAGATAAAGAAGTCATTATCCCACTCTACTTGGCGCTTGTCAGGCCACACCTGGAATACTGTGTACAGTTCTGGTCCCCGCTATACAAAAAAGATGTGGACAGGCTGGAGGGGGTCCAGAGAAGGGCCACCAAGATGATCAAGGGTCTGGGAAGCCTGCCGTATGAGGAT